TTTGAACACAATTGTCCTTTATTTTGTACATCAGGAAGGGGGGCTAGGGAAGGGTAAGTGGAAGGAGGTGAGGGAGGAATGGGGTACGAGCCCCCGTTGGGGAGGACTGGGCTGGCTCTGCGGGCTTCTGGGGGTGGAACCTCTCCTGCAGCCCCCCAGTTGACCCCCCCCCCCAGATGGCAGCCTGTGGCAAGTGCAGCCGGGCTGATGGCCGAGTGCTATGATGTGCCGAGTGCGGGCACTCAGGGCACTCCAAGACAGAACTGCTTTGCTGTCCCTCATCGAGGTAGACAAGCAAGCGGGGAACCCTGAGAACTGTCTGTCCGGGGTGGGGGTCTGGTCCCTTTAAGCACAGAGCTCAGCTAGCCTGAGGCAGCAGCTCCATACTCTAAGTGCTAACCTGATGCCCTGCTGGCACTGGTTCCGACCAGCCTTAACCTCGGTTCAGGGTCCACTCAATGTGGACATGCTAGTTTGAATCAGCAAAACGCTAATTCAAATTAGTTTTTAGGTCTAGATGCACTAGTTTGAATTAGCTTAGTTCGAATTAACTAATTGAAATTAAGTTAGTATGAATTAGTGCTGTAGTGTAGACATACCCTTAGAGAATTTGCTCTAGTGAGTCACTTGGGGCCCCGGGGTCTTTAGCAGCAGGGCTTGCACAGAGGGAAAGAAAATTCTTCCTGAGAAGGGCTTGTCATAGACCAACACCTGGTGACAAGTTAGCCCAATGGCTGCACTAGACTAGAGGGGGCTGGCTAGATAGAAAACAGAGGCCGGGTGATGCCATGACCCCATACACAGAGACTCGTACAGAGACAGGCAGACACAGAAGCGGTGAAAGTTCAGTAAACACATATCAAGCCCATCCAAAACCTGCCCCAGGAACACATGCCCCTGCATGACATTTACCTAGGGGGTCTGTGCTCAGGGGGCTGTGGGCTCCCTCCATTGTCAGCTCATTGACGGCTTCACTGGAAGACGACTTATCAGACACGGAGCCCTCACTTGAATCATGCTTGAAGGAGAAACTCTGTTGGAAAAAGCCAGGACAGCAAACCTGTTTAGACAGGGCTCTCCTTTCAGATAATGACTGGACTCAGTCCCCTGAATGCTGCAGTAGCCAAGGGAACAAAGAAAATCGCCTAATGACAAATACAGCTTCATCTCGTTTCCAGCTTGCCCAATGCAAAACTGCAGAGATGAAGGTGGCAGGCTCAGAAAGAGAGAGAGAGAGAGAGAGAGGCATCTTAGAGCTGGGGTTAGGACTAATGTTCCCTCTATTTTTTTCCACCCATGTGCAGAATAAATTTTGTTACGTACACTGGTGCATGTCTGGATATGCACCACCAGTAGAAATATATGCTGCCAGCTTGTGAGATCTGTGATAATCAGCTGGGCAGCATGTGAATCTCTCCGGGATGGCCACCAAAGTGCCGAGCTTACAGGAAACATTGGTTAGGACCCTGTTGTACTGGATGCTGAATGACCTCAGCTCATTTCTCCAGTTTGTCCAGATCATTTTGAATTATGACTCTATCCTCAAAAGCACTTGCAACCCCTCCTAGCTTGGTTTCATCTGGAAACTTAATAAGTGTACTCTCCATCATCTAAATCATTGATGAAGATATTGAACAGAACCGGTCCCAAAACAAACCCCTGCAGAACACCACTTGTTATGCCCTTCCAGCATGACTGTGAACCATTAATAACTACTTTCTGAGAATGGTTATCCAGCCAGTTATGCACCCACCTTATAGTAGCCCCATCTCAGTTGTATTCGGCTAGTTTATTGTTAAGAAGGTAATGCGAGACCATATCAAATGCCTTACTAAAGTCTAGGTATACCACATTCACCACTTCTCCCTTATCCACAAGACTTGTTATCCTATCAAAGAAAGCTATCAGATTGGTTTGACATTAATTTTTCTTTACAATCCATGCTGGCTGTTACCTCTGACCTTATTTTCTTCCAGATGTTTGCAGGTAAATTCCTTAATTACTTGCTTCATTATCTTTCCTGGCACAGAAGTTAAACTGACTGGTCTGTAGTTTCCTGGGTTGTTCTTATTTCCCTTTTTATAGATGGGCACTAGATTTGGCCTTTTCCAGTCTTCTGGAATCTCTCCTGTCTTCTATGATTTTTCAAAGATGCTAGCTAAAGGCTCAGATACCTCCTCTATCAGCTCCTTGAGTATTCTAGGATGCGTTTAATCAGGCCCTGGTGACTTGAACACATCTTAACTTTTCTAAGTAATTTTTAACTTGATCTTTTTTTATTTTAACTTCTAAACCTACCTAATTTCCACTATCATTCCCTATATTAGGCATCCCTTCATCATCAGACTTCTTGGTGAAGACCGAAACAAAGAAGTCATTAAGCACCTCTGCCATTTCCAAGTTTTCTGTTATTGTTGCTCCCTCCTCACTGAGCAATGGGCCTACCCTGTCCTTGGGTCTTCCTCTTGCTTCTAATATTTTTATAGAATGTCATCCTGTTACCCTTTATGTCTCTAGCTTGATTGAGCTTATTTTGTGCCTTTGCCTTCCTAATCTTGCCCCTGCATACGTGTGTTGTTTGCTTATATTCATCCTTTGTAATCTGACTTAGTTTCCACGTTTTATAGGACTCCTTTTTTATTTTTAGATCATGCAAGATCTCCTGGTTAAGCCAAGGCGTTTTTTTGCCATATTGTCTATTAGGCATGTTAAATATTGACTAATTGACTAATCAAATAGTCAATGCATTTTGCATCAACTATTCGATTAGTCGATAGGGTGCCTCCACCTTTGAAGTGTAGCAACAGCTCTCGGGCTGTTGCCACACTTCAAAGGTGAAAGCACTGCATGAAGCCCAGGGACTCCTCCGCTGATCCCGTGCTCCATGCAGTGCTGCCGTATTGAAACTCCACGAGGAGTCTGACACCGGGCTTTCCTTGGTGTTTCAAAGTGGCAGCACCACAAGGAGCCCAGGGATCAGTGGGAGAGTCTCCAGCTGATCCCAGGTTCCACATGGTGCCACCACTTTGAAATGCTACGAGAAGCCTGACACTGGGCTCCCTGCGGCATTTCAAAGCAGCAGTGCCACAAGAAGCCCAGGGTTAGTCCCCAGCTGATCCTGGGCTCCAAGCAGCGCTGCTGCTTTGAAACACTGCATGCAGCCAGGGGACACTCCAGCTGGCCCTGAGCTGCACACAGCATTTCAAAGTGGCAGCACAATGTGGAGCCCGGGGTCTGGCCCCAGGCTTCAAGAGGCACTGCCACTTTCAAGTACCCTCTTCTCTTCCCCCCTCTTGCTGTCTCTTTCTGATAGAGGCAGCAATGGGGGAGTGGGGAAAGCGACTAGTCAACTAGTCCTTCACATCGGAATAGTTTGCTTTTGGGCCCTTAATAATGTCCCTTTGAAAAACTGCCAACTCTCTTCAGCTGTTCTTCCTCTTAGTCTTGCCTACCAGATCTTTGAATTTACTAAAATCTACCTTCCTGAAATCCATTGTCTCAATTTGGCTCTTCTCCCTTCTACCATTCCTTAGTATCATGAACTCTTTGATTTCATGATCACTTTCACAAGTTAATTAGGAAGTTTTTCCTAATTTCCAACCTAAACTGCAATTATGCAATTTATGCCCATTGCTTCTTATCCTATCACCAGAGGTTAAGGAGAATAATTTTTCTCCCTCTTCCTTGTAACAACCTGTTAGGTACTTGAAATCTAAATGTCCTCTTTCAGTCTTTTCTGAATAAGGAAAAGTTGTTTACTTGTTCCCATAATATAAGAACTAGGGGCCACCAAATGAAATTAATGGGAAGCAGGTTTAAAACAAATAAAAGGAAGTTCTTCACACAGCACACAGTCAATCTGTGGAACTCCTTGCCTGAGGAGGTTGTGAAGGCTAGGACTGTAACAGGGTTTAAAAGAGAACTAGATAAGCTCCATGAATTTAAGTCCATTAATGGCTATTAGCCATGATGGGTAAGGAACGGTGTCCCTAGCCTCTGTTTGTCAGAGGGTGGAGATGGATGGCAGGAGAGAGATGGCGTGATCTTTACCTATTCGGTTCACTCCCTCTGGGGCACCTGGCATTGGCCACTGTGGGCAGACAGAGTACTGGGCTGGATGGGCCTTTGGTCTGACCCAGTCTGGCCGTTCTTATGTTCTCTTTTCCAGACTAAACAAACCCAGTTCTTTCAATCTTCCCTCATAGATCATGGTTTCTAGACGTTTAATCATTTTTGTTGCTCTTCTCTGGACCGTCTCCAATTTCTCCACATCTTTCCTGAAATGTGGCACCCAGAACTGGACACAGTACTCCAGTTGAGGCCTGTGCTGAGGTTTGTGTCCATGTGCCCTGCGCACTAGTAAAACAGGCTGTTACAGAATGTGGGGACCCTAATTCTGCCTTGGAGTTATGCAGAGCCGAGGTTCATTCCCTGGGTTTATGGCACCTTCAGAACACTCTGCGTGGACGTGTAACCCCATAACCTAGAACTACCTGTTCTTTATGCTCAATATAAGTCAGGAATAAGCCAGCCAATAACCTCCCTGGGTCTCTTGGAACAGGTCATAATGCACAACTTTAATGGGCAGCAGCCACTTTATCTGTCATGCTGCAGCCTCGCTCAGTGATTCCTTTGCCTGTCCTTCTGCAGACAGAGAAAGTGGGGGCAGCAACAGAAACATCATTAATTACTGCAAAGTAATTACTGTTAGAAACTAAAGAGAGCCTATAGTGGGGCCTGAACATCATAATTCTTATGAGCCCAGCTCCCCAGGGAAGTCAGCAGGCATTTGTACAGAGACTGATCAGCATCTGAGCAGGGGCTTCATTCTTATATGGAGAATTCCTAAAGAACTTAGTTCCCTCCATGTGTAATTTTTGACCATTCCTGAAGAATTTAATAGCCAACCCTGCAGTAGTATTATAGAGGGTGGCTTTAAAACCCCCGAACTATGAAAAGGGGATAATTCCTTATTGTAGCCTGTTAGTTTCATCCCTATTAAATTATACGGGACTTTTCCATATGGGGAATGGCAGATTAACATCTGCTTTCAGCTGAAATCACAGGCAGTATAGTTTTCTTATGCTTCAGTGGCTGGGAACCCCAGGAAAGCCAGGTTGCTGCCCAGACGTGAATGTGACTATTAAGAAAAGGAAGCAAGGTGCGTACACACACACACACACACACACACACACACACACGTACGTGAGCAGAGGTAAATTGTCCAATAAGATGCAGAATACAGTTTGTCTCACAGGCCCAATGATAGGACACCAAAGCCCTGTCACATAGGAACTGGGTCAGAGCAGGTTTACTATGATGTTCAGGTAATGGAAATTCTATTTTACGAGAGTCAGGGACTGATCATCCAGGCTTTGACTCCCCCTGTGACCTTGGGAAGGTCACTTTTCCTTTCTCTATCTCAGTTAATTCAGCTTTAAAATGGGAGTAACATTCCTACCTAGCTTCCAGTGGGGTGGTGCCAATTACCTCAAGTTTTAAAGTGCTCTGAAGAGGAAAGTTGCTAAGTATTCTTGTGAGAGAAGTGTCAGGAAGATGGAAAGGGCTGAGAGAGGTGCTTAGCAGCACAGAAATGTATCCCAGCTAGCTACAGCCAACTACGCCTCTGAGTCACACCCATCTGGGCTGGGGATCCTGCTATATCATTTGCTATTTATATAACCATCCATTCCACGAGCTGTAAAACTATGTATCTACTGAGAGACACAGCAACATTCTGACATCTCTTCTCTAGGAATTGGACTATTTAAAACATGCAGCAAAACATTCTCCGGAGCTGCCTGGGCAGCTGCGGAGGGATCTGCAGCCTGGAATTTCTTCCAGTTCTCCCATTCCATGGGAATCACCCCGCTGAATAACCCCCGGATGCCAAGTGGCTTCACTCTCTGTAAGATCCTGTTTTCCTGGCTAATCCCTGTGGGTGACTATAACAGGGTGCTGGGGCCCAGTTCTGTGTTTCTGAGCTGTACCTCTGTGGTCTCACCCTGGGCTCTCTCAGGGCTGTGCTGCTCCTCTTTGTCCTTTTCCACCAAGGTCTCTTGTGAAGTGTTTTCGTACAGGGACAGAGGCAAGTCATCCATCCCAAAGACCCTCTCGTAGTTCAGAATGAGAAACTCCACAATATGGGCCTGGTACCCAGAGTCTACGAGGCACGACATGGAGACATCGTACCCTGAGCCAGGCCGGATCAGTGTTGGCCCGAAAATTATGCCCAAGTTGTTGGGGGACATCTTGTTCTCTTCGTATCTTTCAGCCACCCTGAGCAAGGGAAACATCCTGGTTAGAGGCCTATCAGTTCTCAGCTGCACTGCAGTGAGTAGGAGGGATGTCGTGGGTGGGGGAGCTGGTAGAGAGGTACAGCCCGGCACGGGCAGGAGGGGAGACAAGACCCTGGTTTCCAACACTCATACCCCACTGTGAGCCAAGAAGTTGCATTGCAGTGGTGAAAAGTGCAACTCTGAGGGAAGGTGCTTGGTCAGCGCTGGCTGAAAGGAGGCTGGCCCGTCTCCCACTGGCCTAATGGGAATTCTGGCTCTGTACCTGCTTTAGCTCCAAGTGACAACAGTAAAGGAGAGGCCAGACAGCCCATCTGGGAGCAGAGCCTTTTCCGTCTCCCTTGCTGGGAGCTGCAAGGGCCTGGCCTTTCTCCTCCCCGCTGTCCCTTGTGGTGTAATCCTGCCTTCTCGCTGGGGAAGGAGGCTACAGGCATGTCTGCTTGGTGAGCTGAGGGGCCAGTTCTAGTGTGACCTGTGGGTGTGTTGCATGAGCAACTGTGCAAAGGGCTGTCCTAGTCCAACACCCTCATGCAGCTGGCCCCTCCCACCACTTGCATTGCTCTGGCTACGCTCGGTTTTTCACATGCTACTGGAGTATGTTTCTCAAGCTGGACGTTATACTGCAGCGGAAGTGCTGACATGCTCTAAGAGCCTTTTCTGGTACCGACCTGCCTCTGTGCCAGATGCTCCTCTGGGGAGCCAGAGAGAATCACAGAATTCTAGAATGGACTGGCATGGGCCTTGAGAGGTCAAGTCCAGGCCCTGGCCTCCCAGCAGGACCAAGCACCTCAGAATCTGAGACGATGAGGGTTGGAAGAGACCTCAGGAGGTCACCCAGTGTCCTAGTCCAACCCCCTGCTCAAAGCAGGACTGATCCCAACTCTGTAGCAACACGGTGGTCCTAAGGAATTATGGGGCCCTCCACAGTACTACTGAACTGGTGCCCCTGTGCCCGATGGCAGCCTGGGAGGGGGATGACTTTTTAGATTTTATAATCTTCAGCAACACACTGGTGCAATATTTTTAAAAGCACTAACACAGTCAATTCAGAAGCTGACTATATAGACCTGGGATTGGCAAATGCCTGCTAAATGGCTTCATTACCACTTGAATAGCTCTTTCATAGGTTCACTGCTAATAGGCCTCGCAGGCTTTTTCACTTGTAAGCTAACAAGATCCTCTCCAGAGGAAGCAGACACATGGAACAGGAATAGGAAGAGGCAAGTGGGTGGACATAAAGACCCAGTGGTGCCCCACATTTTCGGGTGCCCTACGCCACGGGATGTTCTGAGTATGGGTAAGGATGGCCTTGGGCAGGAATCTCTTTGCAGCACTAGCATCTAACAGACCCATTTTCCACAGTCACTCGTCCCTGTTACCTGTACAGATGTGCAATGAGATGTCGCAGGGTGTTGTAGTTAGTCCCAGGCAGTTTGCTCAGCAAGTCCTTCATGCTCTGGATGGGATCTGCTGAGAACTCGGAGCTGTCTCTCTTCCTTTCCCCAGGTCTCTGCAGGTCTTTGGCAAGCATGATTAATTCATCATAGAGCCGAGACAAGAGCACTGGCCCTGAGAGCTGTGGTGAGATGAAGGAGCTAGTGTTACTGCAGCCTGCCTGTTTGATGCTCTGGGGAAAGATTAGGGTTAGGGTTCTGGCCCTGCAGCCCTGGCCAGCTTCAGCCTCATGTTCCCAGGCTCAGACCATCTCTTATATCCATGATGTATAGGCCAGTGATTGGCTCCCTGGTTTCTCACAAACTTCTAGGGCCTGCAGAAAAGGCCCAGGCCTCCCCAGAATTGCCATTCACACAGAGTTAATATTTGGGGAAGGTCTGAAATAGCCCAGGGCTGCTACTGCTCAGGGAAGCTTTGGGTCTCATCTGTCTTTTATCAGTGACTGCAAGCCACGAGCCATGACACCCATGAAGACAGATGTTAGGAGACCAGAGCCTGGAATTAATCCCTGATTCTACAGTAAACAAGGAGATGTCAACACATCTCAGTGCCTCAGAAACCCATCCAAGAGCGAGCCAGCAACACGAGTTGCCATGCTCCCACAGATGCACCCAGGAGTGAAAGGAAAATTAATTCTTTCTGGTACAGAGGCACACGAGCAGAGGGGCATGTGACCTCCCCATGAGACCCCCCCCCAACTTGACTTCTTCACACAGCGCATAGTCAACCTGTGGAACTCCTTGCCACAGAAGGCTGTGAAGGCTAGGACTATAACAGAGTTTAAAGAGAAGCTAGATAATTTCATGGAGGTTAGGTCCATAAAAGGCTATTAGCCAGGGGATAGAAATGGTGTCCTTGGCCTCTGTTTGTCAGAGGCTGGAGAGAGATGGCAGGAGACAAATCGCTTGATCACTGTCCTCGGTCCACCCTCTCTGGGGCACCTGGTGCTGGCCACTGTCGGCAGACAGGATACTGGGCTAGATGGACCTTTGCTCTGACCCAGTACGGCCGTACTTATGACCACATTACCTGGGGTGGGGGGGTCGATACAGCAACTGTCAGTCAGAATCATAGAGCTGGAAAAGACCTCAGGAGGTCAAGTCCAGCCCCCTGCCCAAAGCAGGACCAGTCCCAACTAAATCAACCCAGCCAGGGCTTTGTCAAGCCGAGACTTAAAAATCTCTAGGGATGGAGATTTCACCACCTCCCTAGGTAACCCATTCTAGTACTTCACCATTCACCTAGGGAAATAGTTTTTCTTAATATCCAACCTAGACCCCCCCACTGTAACTTGAGACCATTGCTCCTTGTTCTGCCATCCATCACTACTGAGAACAGCCTCTCGCCAGCCTCTTTGGAACCTCCCTTCAGGAAGTTGAAGGCTGCTATCAAATCCCCCCTCACTCTTCGCTTCTGCAGACTAAACAGACCCAACTCCCTCAGCCTCTCCTCATAAGTCATATGCTCCAGCCCCCTAATCATTTTGGTTGCCCTCCGCTGGACCCTCTCCAATGCATCCACAACCTTTCTATAGTGGGGGGCCCAGAACTGGACACAATACTCCAGATGTGGCCTCACCAGAGCCGAATAAAGGGGAATAATCACTTCTCTAGATTGCTGGCAATGCTCCTCCTAATGCAGCCTAATATGCCATTAGCCTTCTTAGGGTATGTCTACACTACAAAGTTAATTTGAACGAACAGACGTTAGTTTGAATTAACTTTGATAGGCGCTACACATACAAACCGCTAGTTCGAACTTAATTCGAACTACCGGAGCGCTTAATTTGAACTAGGTAAACCTCATTCTACGAGGAATGATGCCTAGTTCGAATTAAGCAGTTCAAATTAAGGCCTGTGTGGCCACTTAAATTTGAACTAGTGGGAGGCTAGCCCTCCCCAGCTTTCCCTGGTGGCCACTCTGGGCACCACCAGGGAAACTCGTCTGCCCCCCTCCCGGCCCAGGAGCCCTTAAAGGGGCATGGGCTGGCTACGGTGCCCGTGCCAGGTGCAAGCCTGCCAGCACCCAGCCAGCAGACCCTGCACCTGGCACGGCACGAACCAGCCATCTGCTGCCACCCAGCCCTCCGCCTCTTCCCGGGACCAGGCTGGTGGCTCCCGGGAGCCTGCCGAGGTCCGCAAGAGGCGGGCGCCCGCCTGGTCTAGTGCAGACATTGTGGACCTCATCCACGACGTCCGCACTAGGCACAGGAAAGTGGCTGTCTAGGGCAGGATACTATGCTACTTCTGTTCAGGCAAAAGTCCCTTTTGCGCAAAACTTTTGCGCAAAAGGGCCAGTGGAGACAGCTGAGATTTGTTTTCTGCAAAAAAAGCCCCGATTGCGAAAATGGCAATCAGGGCTTTTTTGCGGAAAAGCGCGTCTAGATTGGCCACAGATGCTTTTCCGCAAAAAGTGCTTTTGCGGAAAAGCGTCCATGCCAATCTAGATGCTCTTTTCCGAAAATGCTTTTAACTGAAAACTTTTCCGTTAAAAGCATTTCCGGAAAATCATGCCAGTGTAGACGTAGCCACTAGGTGTGTGGGTCACACCTGCAAGTGGCCAGGACCAGAGACTGAGCCTGGCTCCTTCTAGCAATTTGCTACCCACCTCTTTCAGGAAATGCTTCAGGACACCAGTGATGTCGTGGGGAGAATGTTCCGAGAGCTCCACCAGCTCCCTCCCATTTTCAAATGCCTGGCAGAGCTTCTCCATCCGGGCCTTGGCCCCACTTATCCGATAGATCCCCTGCATTGTCAAAAAGGGGAAAGGTTCAGGGACCCTGGTCAGGGGAGGGGAGGGAGGAGGAGGAGAAGGATGGGGCCAGGCAGTAACAGGGCAGCTGAATTTCTGCAGCTGAGGCCAAGAAGGGAGGTGACATTGTCTCATTCCTGGTGTGGACAGGCACCAAAGTGTGAGCTGCAGAGATGCAGAACCCAGCTACCCTCATGGCAGGACAATACACTAAAGCTAGAGGGAATCAGAGAGAATTTTTAATTAGCCTCTCTGGGAGCCAGGTGACCTGTTCAGCAGCCAGGACAACCGTCAATGGTTTACTGGGGTTTGTGAAATGCCTGGTGACAAAAGGCGCCAAGCAAGGGCCTGATATGGCCCGTCACAGTTGAATGGTGTGCAGTCCTGGCCCCCAGCGGGAGTAGGAACAGGTCCTGCATGGCTACTCACCTGCACTCCGAGGGCACGCGCCTCGATCTCTGCGGTGCACTTCACAACCAGGAACGGGACCTCTTCGGGAAAATCCCGAGGGACCTGTGTGAAGTCGATGCCAAAGAGAGGCACTCGGCTGGGCAGCTTCTTGTGGCCACAAGTGATCAGGAGGTTCTCCAGGCACTTCCGGTGGCAGGTCAGATAGCACTGCAATGGCAAGACAATACTGGGTTAGGCACTAACTACAGCTTGGCAAGGCCACTCCAGAGGCTGGGCAAAGTGTCTCCCCTTGGAGCACATCACAGGTGTAGCCTGATCTAAGATTATGTTTAAATTCTAATGACCCACCTTAGGGTTGACAGGTTCTTTGTCCCAGGATCAGGCCCAGTATTCAATTATACTACGATTGGGAACCCTGATGTGCATGGTTGCAACACTCACACTATAGAAACTCTTGTATATGTACAAATAGAGTTTACTAATATGGTTAGCACAGTCACAAACACCCCAGTTTCATAAGATATGGAAATATGGATGGATGTTCCCTACCATACTGACATCATTCCTTCTAGAACAATCTTAGGTATTAGCCCATCGTCTCTCTCATTACCTTCCCCTTCCCCATCATCACCGGGGACATCATTCTGGCCCTTCCAAGGACGACATCTTCTCCTCCCCATCGCCTCACTTTTATATTACGTGACGCTGACGATAACATGTTTCATGCATATTCAATAGGGGATGTTTCTAATGCTGAAATGTTCTTTTCCTATTGGTCAATGTATCATTGCTCTTAATTTATTATCATATTGTCAATTCGTTACCATGGGCCTTTGTGGTCATCTATCACATCCTGTGTCCTGATTACTCAACTCAGCCAGAACCAATTATTTTGGGACTTTTATATAATGATGCATCTACTGAGTCTGAGGGTATTTTTCCTACCATCCTGTGTGGGGAAAAGGTCCAGATCTAAGTTCCCTTTTTCAGTCCCAGGAAACCATAAATAAACCATGATCTGTATCTGGTGAGACTATGTCTCAACCACGGAAGTCTGCTAACCTCAGCTTCTGCTGAGTTTTAAATGGCCTGTTGCAGCATGGACATAAGATAAAATATAGCCCCATATTACTTGACCTGTGAGCTTATGTGTGTTCTTTCATTCAAGTGCAACCTGCCCTCTAACTGGCTGTAATGCTGACATGGCACTCACTGGAAAGTGCATTCAGAGGCTGAACCATCTTGTTATACCCTAGAGCAGGAGCCACTGCACTGCAGGGAACCCGACTCACCAGGCAGCCTCGGCTGGGCTGTCCTGTACCCATGCTGCTCCTATGCCCAATGGCATCTGGATAGCCACACAGCCCAGCCAGTGCACAGCACCAACAGGCTTGTGGTTGGCTGTGTGGGGGAAGGAAGCAGCATCTGCCCACAGACAGGTACAAGCAGCAGGCCACTAACTGGGGCTCTTGCTAGACTCTAATATACCAACATGTCCTGGCCCCAAATAAGAAGGGGCATGGACCTGTACCCATGTGGGTCAATGGCAAAGCCCCCCCAAGGAGTTGAGTGCCTATGTGCTAGTATTCAGTGGGCCTTCACAAACTGCAATGGGCAGACACAAGGCCTAGTGTATTACACCTGCACCCAGACATCAGTCAGGCTAACACAAAGGGCCTGAGGGAATGCTGAGAGCAGCTTTACAAGACTTGCCTCCCACTCCTCCGAGTGTAGCCCTCTGGCCAGGTAGATATGCCACCCCCCAGTTGCTCCAGTCTGAGGCACTGGGCAGGCAGGGCACATTGTGCTGCAGACCAGCCTTTAGCAGATTTCTTGCATTACAGCTCTTAACTATTACCTAATTAATCTAAATTAACACACACATTATAATTATTAGCATGATAGGCAAGGAAACCGATAGGCTTCCCAGGCTCTCCCTCATCCTGTTTCCGCCACTCACTCAGAGGGGGCCCCTTCACATAGTTTTGCAGGGGGACATGCCTGCAGCAAGGTAACCAGCTCTCCCTGCACCCATGCAAGGTATCTACAGTCCAGGATGTGCTGAGCTCTCTTACCTCTTCACACTCCGTGCCACTGACCATAAAGGTTTCACATTCCCTGCACTTGGATGGACCCCGCAACTTCCGCAGCCGATGGGTCTGTGCTGCGCTTGACAGAGAGATGTTCTTAAACTGACACTGCGACGATCCATTTTCTGGTTCAGCAACCATGTAAATATAACAGGGAGACTTTTCAGAGAGCCGCTCATGCCATTGAAAAATGTAAAAGAATGACCAACCCCTTTCTCTCAACAGCGGGGTAGCTCTTTTGTAGCCCTGTCTGCTCAGAGTGGTCAATATCATGACTGACAGTTACTGGAGGGACTGGAGGGGCCTTGCGATAGAATTTGGAGACCAGTCATAACCAAGCAGCAGTAGCTCAACTGTCCTGATGCTCGGGGCTGGAATACCACGGGACGTTAGGGATTGGAAGAGCCATCAACTGAGCTGCTGGGGGAAGCCTAGGTTTGGAACAGCCGGGGCTTGTGGTTTGGGGCTGAGGGCAGAGCTGTGTATGTTGGAATAGCAGTAGGGGCTGGCGGTCCAAACTCAAGGGCAACAGCAGAGGTCTATGGGGTCCAGAACTGAACTGCAGGTTGGAAGTTAGATGCATTTTCAGGGCTGTGTATGGAGCTCTCCCTTTTATAAGCGTAACAGGGTGCATAAGCCCAGGGGTGGACGATAATTTTTGTAGGGGGGTCACTTCACAGATTTTAGTACATGGTTGTAGGCTGGCCTCAGGTGGAAGGAGTGGGGGTAAGGAGGGAGGGAGGGGGAGAGAGAGAGGAGAGAGAGAGAGAGAGAGAGTGTGTGTGTGTGTGTGTGTGGGTGTGTGTGTGTTTCATCTGAAGAAGTGGGTTGTGTCCATGAAAGCTCATGATACCATCTACATTTTTTGTTAGTCTCTAAGGGTATATCTACACTTGCACCCTAGTTCGAATGAGGGATGCAAATGCAGGCATTCGAAATTGCTAATGAAGAGGGGATTCAAATATCCCGCGCTTCATTAGCATGCTCTCGCCGGCGCACTTGTCTGAATCACAGCTGATTTGAACCAGGAAGTACATGCTGGGATGCATTAGTTCGAACCAAACCCCTTGGTTCAAACTAACGTTAGTTCGAACCAAGGGGTTAGGATCGAATTAATGTGTCTCGGTGCTCACTTCTTGGTTCGAATCAGCTGTGATTTGAACTAGCGTGCTGGCAAGATCATGCTAATGAAGCGCGGGATATTTAAATCCCCGCTTCATTAGCAGTTTCGAATGCCTGCATGTGCATCCCTCGTTCGAACTAGGGTGCAAGTGTAGACACACCCTATGGCAGTGGTTCTCAAACTTTTTGGCCCATAAACCACCTGGCTCAATGTAAACTTTTCTGCAGACCACCAGTTGCTAATGGAAACTCACTGTTAATTACGGAATTATGCCTGAGGCATTTTGCTAGTGCTGCAGCTAGGGAGACTGGTTTAATTTTAACAGATTAAGCGTTTTAACTTTCTTATTTTAGTTTATCAAACTTCATTTTAAAGAAAGTAAAATATTAATTTATGTTGAACAAAAAGGTTTCAATGCTTTCTTTCTTTATGGCAGGTGTGGGAACATTTTTTGTTGGGGCCACTGACCCACAGAAAAATCAGTCGGGGCCCACACAAATGAGAAGAAAATAAATTCCTCTAACCCCCTCCAATCCTCACTGATGAAGCCCCCAACTGAGATACTGCACTCCTCCAGCACTCCAACCCCCACAAGGTGAGGGCAAGAGAAGGGACCGAGAGGACTGAAGTTTGGGGCTTCCCATAGGCCAGATTTACTTTTCTGGGGTCCCGGAGTTAGTGGATTTCATGGACTCCCTTAGGCTCTGGGGTGGGGACAAAAATGAAGGGTTCAATGTGTGGGATAGGGTTGCCAGTGAGTGGGATAGGAACTGAGTGCAGGAACTGGGAGGAAGGTGGGGTGCAGAAGGGGGTGAGGGTACAAGGTCTGGGTCGGGGGTAGGGTGCAGAAGCAGGCTGGGAATAGGGTTTGTGGACAGGGGGAGTGAGCAGGAGCAAGGGAGAGTGCCAGGAGCAAGCATGGATGTAGGAGCAGGATGGGGGTTGAGCGTCTGGCCACAGGGAGGGCACAAGTATGACCAGGAAGGAGGGTGCAGAAATGGACGGGGGGGGGGGGGGGGCCGGGGGGGGGCG